CCTAAACTTCCTTTTAGCCTTTGTGAAATCTAAAGATGTACAGTTTAATTGGTAAGTGAAGTATTGGTGCATCTCAGTCAGGATCATGCTCAAATTCTGCATATCAGACTACAAGACAATGTCCTGGAACCAGCAACAAGTTTGTTTCATTTCTCTTCACTTTCAGATTTGTTCTTTGTCAGGATTGTCACTCATTCATTTTTGCCTTTAATAGCTGTGTCACAGAAATGTATTCAGCTGTGACATTTTGTAACAAGTCAGACATGTCTCTGAATTTTGTTTCAGTGGTCTTTTGGTGATAAATTAAAGTAATAGTCTAGACAGAGAATAGATGTCTCCGTAATTATACATCTGTTCATGATGCCACTTCTCCCCACTTGATTGTGTGATGTGCACCCTAGGATGCAAGGGTGAATTGGGGAAAGAAAATGAGTCTTACTGCATCAGAATGGGGTGCCTTCTATAGCTGAGGATGATAATTGCAACAGACTTTGTGCCTTGAAATATGCTCAGCCATTTCTGTTTGTCACAGGTATAGTAACTGTGAGTCAGCCTAGTTTCCACACAAAATTGATAGGACAGCAGATATTTTCAGTCAGTATGTTACTAGAGTGTTTTCAGAGGGGCGGATGGGAGGTGAAGTGTGCTACTTCAGCTTGAACAGTGTACTTGCTTCATCTCTCAAGTCAGAAATGTCACGGAGAGAGATCCATGCATGATGTTTTTGTGGCCTGTGTTACTGATGACCCAGCTAAATATGTTTATGATACAGAGTCCAGCCATTTCACCATGCACTGGATCCATATGAAGTGGAGTTGTGGACATGTTAGATATGAGTCACATCCAGCTTTATTTGCTTGGTTTCTGTTCTAGGCCATGGTGTTGGAATAGCAGAGGGGGAACCTTGCAGCCACTGCAGTAGTGGCCTTCCCTCTGCAGCCTTTCTGAATGGAGTTATCTGATGATACAGCTGCGATTTTTGATAAGGGACTGAGCGTGGGTTTGCCGGGGCAACCTAGTTTCTACTCAAAGAAGCTGTTTGAAGTTGGCAGGCATGTTGTCATGTTAAGCAGAGAGAAGAAAAATATTTTCTCCAGAGGGCCTCCATTTCTGAGCAACTGCTTAATAGATTTCATGACCCTCTTCTCTCTGTCAAGTAACTAATTTTTATCTGTATTTTCCAGGTGTAAGAAAAAAAACAGGTGATGGTGGCAGTCTGCAGTTTTAGTCTCTTGGACCTCTGTAACTCAGTGCAATGGAAGCTTCAGAGATTTTGTTACTTCAAAATGTCACTGAAAAAAAATGATGGTTTAAAGCTGAAGTCCTAGAAAAAAAAAATGAAGAGATGAGTGGAATCTGTTTTCAAGTTGTACATTTTAATTTTTTATATTGTAATTGTTGTAATTGTAAAAGCATTTATAAAATCTGCAACGATTTAAATGGAGGGAGAAGCCCTCCTGATTGCCAGATTCACAGGTTTGAAAACTACACGAATGATTTAAATTGGGAGGGATGTCTGGAGATTATCTAGTCCAATTTACCACTTGCCTCAGAGTTGTATCAGATTACCCAGAGCCTTGTCCAGATGAACTTTGACCAACTTTGAGGATGGAGCTCTGTACAACCTTTCCTGGCATATGACTACCATCACAGGGATAAACTTATTTGAACAACACTTGCTGTAACTTCTCTGTTGTCTCCTACACAGTGAAGACACCTCTGAGAAGAGCTTGGCTTAGTCTTCGCTGTAACACCCAGCCCTGTTAGGTAGCTGAAGACAGCAGGTAGCTTCTCACACCCCTCAGACTCCCATCTGAACAGCCCCAGAGCCTTCAGCTGTTCACTATGCATGATGTGCTACAGCCCCTGATCTCTCCATGGCTCTCCCTGGGAATTGTCCCAGTTTGGCAACATCTGTCTTGTACTGGGAGGGTTAAGGCTGGACAGTACACCATGAGGCCTCACAAACACTAAAAATAGAGAAGCAATCATCTCCCTTGACCTGCTGGCTATACTCGTAGTTACAAAGACCCGTAGGCAGTTAGCTGTCATTGCTGCAAGGGCATGCTGCTGACTCAAGTTGTTATTCACCAGGACTCACAGATCCTCCTCTGCACAGGCCAGATCTTGTTCTCTGCTTTGTCTCTGTTCCTGCATTTTCTGAAGATAACAATTGAGTTAAGTTTCTGTAGCTGAGGAATTGAATCCTGCTATATACTTGGTTTAACATTTGTACCATGCATATAGTTAAGACATGTCATAACTTTGACCTTGACTTTAAAAAAAATCAGTTGGCTCTCATAAAGGGGAGAAGTTGCTTTGTGTGTTGTTTGACACTGGATTTGTAGTTTTCTTGCTGTCACATTGCAGGCGACACACTTTGCTGCCATGGTAATGAATGAAAGGTTACCTGCAAGCCAGACAACTGTGGTACATGCTGCTGAAGATGAGCTTATTTTCTTTGTGCCTTTAAAAATACTTAATTAACTCCAGAGACCTTTCTAGCTAAGACATTTAATTTTCAAAAAAATAAATAGAAGATAAAGGAGTAAAGATGGAGTCACACTTCATTGTTCCTGTTTGTTCACAGATTCTCTGTAAGGACAAAGTCACTTCAGTGCATCATCCCATAGTATGGGTCTTGGTCACATCTATAACAGGATAACCTCTTGTAATGATACTGACTTATGAATCTAACTTTTCATTTCCCTGTATCATGGGTTTGTATTGGATAACTGATTTGTAACTAGCACTTCTTACAGGACTGGTGTCTCCAGTTTTCAGGAAGGTGTCCCCACCTTGTTAGGTATGTACAACTCCTTGTATGATAAAATTATTTTGCTCACGGAGTCCTCGGATCTGCCCAACTGCTGCGTTCAGAGGTGGAAGGGGAAGATACCTGAAAGACACGGCAGCCTGGCACAGTGAGATGTGCTGTCCTGCAAGTGTCCTTGTCCACTGGAAGAATTTCGTGCAACCTATACTGGATTAAACCACAGGTGGATTTTGCCCTCTGAATCAATGGAGCATTCGGATTAAGGGTCTGTGGAAAAGGAAAGCCATATGAAGGGCCAAGGGTCATGACTGAAAAGACAATTTGCTATTTGTCAGAATAAAGACTGATCTACCTCTTCATATGTGACAAGTGTAATTTATTTAAGAAGAAAAAGAAACAATGTTTAAACACACACTACCTCACCTCCTTATCCTCCCCTCAAAGAAAACAGCCCTGGGTAGCATCATAGCAGGATTTCGTAACAAATTATGAATTATTAGCTTCAGAAACACTTTTAAGGGGGAAAACATGATGTATTTCAGAACTACATCACTTTAAATTGTGCTTTTCATATTTTTTCTTAACTGTTGATTCACTCTACAGTTTCTGGAAACAGAAGACTGTTTTGTCTTGACATATGAGGAAAGTTCCTAAATGCTGTTTGCTGTTTAGGGTTAGCATCTTAGTACAATCTGCAGTAGAAACTTCTATCACATTTGCAATGCTCACACTTGGAAGACTGCAGTTGCCAAAATTCACTTAGGCTGCCTAAAACTGACAATGCAAAAAAGCTTGTAAATAATATGGTAAATGGTGGAAAATAACAGTTAGTTCTATATTAGTGGTTAAATATGCTAATGTACAAAGAGACTCGTATTGGAAGATCAGGTAATTTTTATGGACCCGGGGAAAATGCTGTCTGAATAGGCAGCAGTAAAATTAAGGATGTCTGCTGAATTACCCAAGATATAAATGCAGAGAGGGTACTTTTTTGCTTTAGATTGTTATACTACGTGCCTTTCAAGCCTTACAAAATGTTTATTACAACCTCAATATTATTTGTACTCATAGCTTTATCTGCAGAAAATATAATTAGTAGCCACACTTACCAGAGTTCAAATGCTTTTGTCTTTGTATTTTAAGTAATACGTTGATTAAAAACCACTTCCCTTTTTTAACAAATGTTTCAACTCTGAAACATTTGACTGGGGGAGGTAGGCATGTAAAAAATGCCCCAGTGAAATTTTCTGGGACATACTACTTTAATGTAAGAGTAACAGGACATATCAGGCTGTGAAAATAACATTCCCTGCTGTCACATCTAGTTGCTCATAGATTCACAGACTGACATTGTTTCATTTGTAAAGCTGTTTTGTGTCCATAGCTTTAATTGAAAGACTGAGCACCTGATAACTATTGGCTACGGACCTCCTGATTTCCAGGTTACAGGTGCATTTGGTAAATCCATACTAGTTACTCTTATGATGAATTTGCTGTCAGTTTGCAGTTTTCCTACCTGGAGTCTGTTATCCTCTGAGTGCATCAATATGCAATGCCTGTAGTTTTCCCTTGTACTTCAGTGTACTGGATTAAAAATAGTGTTCTTTGCTGGTAATGCTTATCTATTGGATGTAACCACTGTAAGAGACAAATAGCTTCTGAGCCACCTTCTCTCCTACTTTGTCCTGAATGCTTAGGCTTTTAAATTACTTATCAAATAGCCCCCATCAAATCTCACACCCAGTATCTATATCTAAGGTAATAGTGTTGTTAAACTGTAGAAGAGTTGCTTTTTTCCTACATTCAGACACATGGGAAACAGCATGTGGTTCCTTAGCTGCATGTAGTTCCTTGGTCACATGTGGTGGCATTGTATATCTTCCCAGGGGCTGGCAGGATAATTAACCTGGCTTCAACTACTTGAAATGCTATTTTTGTTGAAGGAGGATACATAATATGAACACTGAGGCATTAGGATGAAATTAATTCCATCAGAGTGGCCAGGGAGTCCTGAAGAAAAGACTGCTATTGCACTCGAAATCCTACCAATTAGTGCTCTGAACTACTTGGGCATTTCTTGTGTCACTGGTTGGTAAGCTGCTAGTTGAACAGAGCACCTCAAATTTAAGGCAGGTGTTGCTGGGAATGTAATTACTTGTTTGCTCCCACCTGCTACTTGCTACTCTTTTGTGGTTTTCACAAGGGTGCTGCTGTGTGGTGAGTAGTGACTTGTGATTTAGGAAAAAAATATATTTTTTGTCTGATATAAATACTTGGTGTACACTAACAACAGGGTTCTGAAGCTAATGGTTTTAACAACAATGGTGTCTTTGGATGAGATGTTACTTAAATAGCATGTAATGAAAAATGAAACCCTATAGTACTGTAACTCACTCACACAACTCTGCTGTTAACATTGCATGGAGGGGAATCAGTGAGCTTTCCATCCCACTGTTGCTAGCATTTTGCACAGTAGATGAAGATAGAGTGAAGAACAGCACTGCACAGGTCTGCAGGTTTCTGTGACTCACACTGTCAGGGACAGGGGAGATGGATGTGGGTGCTGTCAGTGCTCTGCTGTGGTTTAAGTTGTTCTGATGTGACAGTGGGAAGAGTTGAAGGCTGCCAAATTCTGCTTGTGTCTGCTAAATGGTCACCTGTTCTTTCTCCTATCTAGTGTGCAAGGCTCATGAGATCTATGGTAGAAGGTGCAGTGTCAGAGAGGAGCAGCAAGGCCAAGGACTGCTCTGAAATCATTATTCTGATGGAGGTATGTTCCTTCATGTAAAGATTAAGGTGTATGCTAGATAAGAGAGAACTCAGTGCCCTCATTAAACTGTGTTGGGGGGAGAAAGCAAGGTTTCTGTCCCTACACCAGCCAACTTCACAGAGCAGAAAAACTTCTTTAGGTGATGTTGAGAGCTAGGCTGGAACGAGACCGAGTAAGCATTATTAATTCAGTGTTGAAGCATCCCTGTACAATGAGGGTGGAGTAAAGGTTTGAAATAAGTATTTGGGGTTGTTCTGGTATTTTTGATTTCTTCATTTTTCAGGTATTTGCTTTGGAATCCCCTTTAAGTGCTCTCATTTTACTAGTTGACTGTCCTGAGGCCTTGTCAGCTTATAGCAATATGTCCCTGATTCATTAAAGATTGAGAAGGTACTTGCAACTTAAAACTTCTTGAATATCAAAAAAATCTTTCCAGCCCAAGTATAGTCAGGGTAGTTCTTTATTTTGTTGTTACTTGGTGGCTGTTTTAGCATCTGCTGATAAGCACATACCACTCTGCAGCTCTGAAGCATCAGTGTTTCAATGCTGGGTGAGTTACTAGATATCTTGAATGTGCTTCACAAAATGTACAGAATGTCTTAGACTGTTTTCTATGTTGGACGATCCTAAGGCTTAGGTGCTACCATTTCTTACTACTACAAAGTAGGAGGTATCAGAAGCATGATTAAACCAGGCATAGGGAAAAACTTAAAAACAAACTTTGCATGTTGTAGCATGATGAGGAATAACTGGCACCTCCACAGCAGCCCAGCTCTGTCTAAGTGAGGCTGCAACCTGGATTGTTATCAAGCCCATGCCATTAATTTCAGATGCTTTTCTAGCAAGCTTGAAATGAGTCACCATGTGACTAATCAGCTATGAGCCCACTAGCAGAAGGCTGGCTAAGCACTGGTCAATACAAAATCTGCCAATTGCTCAAGCACAGCAGAAGTTAGGCAAACAGCTACTGTCTTCTAAAAATTGCAGCCTGAGCACTCTCACTGCTGTTGTTGACAGATAATTTGAAATCTGAGGGTTTGTGGTTTTTTTCTCTTTATGAAGCTAAGCTCCACAAATCAATGTTGCTATGGAGAAGTGCCATGTAATCATCAAGGGCAGACGATGAACTAATTAATTGTAGAAATCCAACTGTAGCACTGACGATACCCCTGGGACACAGAACAGTTACCATTAAATTCAAATGGGCATTTTCAGGGAACCAGTGTTTCCTTGAATATACTATAGTGCTGGCTGATCAACTGTGACAAATGGAAGTTCAGGTCATGAAATGTGTGTAACCAGTGATGCAGATGCCCAGATACTTATGCCTGAACAGGCACATCTGACTTCTGCCTTTTGTACAGATGTGGGGAAAGGTCCAGTTTTGCCCAGAAACATGCATGCATGGGTTTGGGTCACAAACTGTTTAGCTGAAGGTGTGTAGAAACTGTTTGACTGATACTTTATTATTGGTCTAGATGTAATATTTCAATGAAAGGAACCCGCTGATTGCAATGTGTATTTTATATAATGCCTCTCTCTCCTTTCTTGTTTACTATGTTCAGTTTTGGCTAGGAAATCCATAGTCCTGTCTTCCTGTTCTGAGCTGCTTGAAAAAGAGTAATATTAAGCAGCAGCCTTTAAGATGTTTAAATAGAGGCATTACTTCACAAGAAAGGAAGAAAAACAGTTCTGAAAATGCATTAAAAAAAAACTAATATGGGAAACTGCTTATGAAGTGTGACTTCTTAAGGTTTTAAATCTTGTTGCCACAGAGTCAGTGATCAGTTTGATATCAAGAGAATGGTGGAAATCTCAAAAGGCTGGAGAAAAAGGTAAGAGATCAAGTTGTTTTCAATTTGAAAAAGTTATAGTTGCGAAGGTTAGCAATTCAGCATGAGAGGCATCATTCCTGGCTCTGATGGCTGAGAGAAGAGGAAGGTGGGAGATACCATAAACTGCACATTAGTATTGTATCAATCAGAAAGGAATTGGATGCCCTTTCAGTGTACTGTGTGCATCCCAATGTGTAACCTCATCAGTCAGGGCCAAAAAGGGCAGAGAGCCTGTGTTACCTCATATTTGGAGACTCCTTTGAAAGGAAGACACAAACTTTCTTACAAGGATGCAGAGATGTGTCCTTTCTGGATATAAATCTGAAAAGGCGAGTGTTGTGCTTGGCTTGGCCTGATCAAATCCCCCACACCTCAGTAAGAAATGTTAATCTGTAGTACAGCAGGGCCTGCCTTGGTAGTGTGGAAGAATTGGGAAATTAGCATTTCTGAATAATTAAGAGTTCCCACTAATCAGACCTGTGAGAAGTCTTTCACAGTGCCATGGCATGTCAAGAGAGACACTGGTAAGGCTCTTCCAGGTGCAGGATAAACTGAGAGTTTACCCACATTTGCCAAAGGTGCATTTCAGCAGCTGCTTTAAGTGCTTGGAGCTTAATTTCCAATTCAGAAGGTGGATTTGTAAACGCCTAATGAGATCTGTCTGCTCTCCAGCTGCGTGTGCTGCTGCAAGTACAGCTGACCTGTCTCAGCACTCAGGTGCCTCTGAGAAGGAAAGCAGGGCACTAGTGAGGGGGCTTGGCTGTGTTTCCCCATCTCCTTTGGTGGGCGAGGAAGGGAGACTGTGCAGTTGGGTGCTGGAGGCTGCTGTGGACCTGCAGATAAGGCTGCTGTGGGCTGCCCTTGAACCTTAGGGAGGAGGACAGCCTTCTGAGGAGTGTCTTGAGCAGGTACCTTGACTGGACTGTGGTCACTGGGGGAGAAGTGTATTTAACTGGAAGGATAGGCCTGTTGTGCATGGCACTGCTAGGCCACAGCTGGGAGCCCTGGGTGGTGTGTGTGTGCAGAGTGATGGGCCTCAGGTGGCAAACCTGCCATGCTCCTGCCCTTTTCTTCAAGGGGAAGGCCTATCCCTTATTGTAGTGAGGTTGCTGGCCTGGATTAACTAGCAGTTTGAACCAGCGGAAGAAAATGCTGCTCTCTCAAGACTGTTCATGGTATTAGTGCTTGAAAAATAAGTGTATTTGTAGTGAAGTGCAGCTACGGGGCACAGGAGGAGAGATGGCATTTGTGGAGCAGCAGACCCTTCAAATTGTAGGTCATCTTGCTTCTAATAAATTGCTTTGACATTGAAAGAAAGAATAGCAAATGCCTATTTGCTATAAAAGACTAGTTGTCTTGTTTTGACCGACTTGTTGAAGTAGTGCTGAAGGAAGCCCTGCTGAGGGAAGCTCATTTGCACAAGGTTGCTGTTATTTATTGCCTATAGCAATGATCTCAAATATTAGAGCAACGATTTCTGGTACAGCACAAGGAAGGATGGTGCTCGGGACTGAAGAAAAAACTAGTGGAGAGTAGAGTCATGGAAAGGCTTTGGGGTAGTTCAGTCATAGCCACTACATGTGAATGCAGACAAATAACAGAATAGGAAATCTGCAGAAGGCAGCTGCTTATGGATAAAGAAAAAAACAGTAACAGAAGTCAAACCAGCATGGTATGAAAATGGATATAAGGAAATGGGGAAACTGTAGTGCACTTGTGCTGAACAGTGGATTGAAAGGGTTGAATGTTTCTGTTGACCATCAAATAAATGTGAGGGTTCTAACCAAGGTGCAAGTGCTGGAAAGCATATTGCCAGTTGCTGACACCACGTTGGTGCTGTCAGAAGAGCTCTGAGTTGAAAATGAGAAATTAGCTGTTCTAGGTGAGATAATGGAAATCTTGAACACAACCTCATCCAAAAGAAGTCCTACAGCCTCATGTGATAACAATAGCAATGGGAAGATGCTGTCACTGCTGTTGTCTTGTCTGAGATGCTTGTACCACTGTGACTTCTTGAGTATAAAACAATTGTGTTAACATCTTGCTGCACACCTGAGAGATCCTGGAGTTCCTCTATCTCTTAACCTGATGCTATAACTTGTCTCAAAGCAGTTCAGGCAGCTAGCAGGCTCGCAAAAATGTGAACTGAAAGTTCTCAGGAATCCATTAGATTTGGTCTTGCATCGTAAGTTCCTTAAAGGTTGTTCTCAAAACCAAGTAGAGTTGCACTAGAAGGCAGAAAAACCAGAACTGGGCTAGTCTGTATTAGCAGAAAGAAGTTGCTCACAGAAACAAGTGGAGTCATAAATACAATCAGGTAAAGATGATTTTTCCCCCCTGTTAACAGATAATTACTTCTTGTTCTTGGCATAATTATAGTCATTTTACATCTTAATTTGACTATAATCAATGTTTCCTTACCCCTTTTTTTCTTGAAAACTAAGAAAATATCTTATTACTATTAGGTACTCAGGTGGTCTGTTAATAAGCCTGAATCTGAAGCACTGAGGTCTTTGTCTCTATAATGAAGTGGATGTTTGAGTTCTGAAGCTCACCCATTAGTACATGTATCCTGTTTACAGATGCTACATGTTTGATAAAATACCTACATTCATTTTGACTGAGGAGAAAAAAGGTGCTATTTTATCCATTTTTTAAATATGCCATTTTTGTAATACAGAATTCATCACATGTGTTTGTTGATCACAGTTGTGATCACCTCCATGGGACTACTAAGGATTTAAGTCTTTTCTCCAACACTTCTACTTGATGTCAACTGCTTAGATGGAAATCAACTCTTCCCACTGTAGCTAACCAGCTTGTTATAGGTTCTTTCATCCTCCTGCTTTACTCAGCTTTTTTCATATTTCCTGCTCCCACCATCAGCCCTTTCCCTGAAGAAAAAAAAAAAAAAGCAAACAAACTTCTTCATCAGGTTATAGTCTTGCCAATCCAACTTATACGTTTATCACTGTCATGTTTTGTTGCTTTTTCATGCAAGGCATCATTGGTTTTATTTCACTGCCCAGACCTCAAGCCTTTGCTACAACAAGCTGTAAACTCCTTCCTCTTCCTGTCCATTTGGTCACTTTGCACTGTAAGAAGCTATGGTTTTAACTTCTCGGTATAGACGCTGGTTTTTGAAAGAGGCTGAACCAGTCCCCCAGCTGCTGCTTCCACCACACAGCAAATCCAACTGTTCATCTTACTTGCTGTCAGGAGTCTGACAGATGAATCAACTCCAGTCTAATTATGTTTGCTTTGGGGGGCTGTTATCTTTCAGCGGGGTTAAAGACTTGCACTGCAACCACCTGACTGCTCAATCTATTCACTGGGCATCAATGAGTGTGTTTAGGTAGGAATAGGCAAGATGGATCACCTGCCTGGCATTAGTCTCCTGTTTGGCTGTATTAGGCATGTTCAGTCTGAAATCTCTACCCATTAAAACTTGGGCCTGATATTCATATTCACCCAAGAATTAAAAGATACACTTTGTAAAATCATCTCAATATGATAAATTCAGAGTTCACTGCTGCTTTCTTCACAAAGAGTAGACCCAAACTAACTGTCAGTGGAAAGTCTGGTCTGCAAAATCTGTCTTCTAGGGAGACCAGTAATTACTGAGAGAAGGAAATAGAACACAGGCTTGAGCAATAAATGTCTACAGAGTTAAATTCAGCTAGTTAAGCTGGCAGGAATTAATCTGTTAGAATCAGAAAAATACTCTGTACATTGGTAATTCTTTAGAGGACTAAAAACAGGTCTGCCCCTCAAAGTACAGAAATGTCATTGATATGGTAGTTTGTCAGGTTCTATGTTGCTGCACAGCAGACAGACTCTGGCCAAGAAATGCCAGACCTTGTACTAAGTGCATTTAAAAGGGGGCTGAAAAAAAGATGTAATAGAAAAAAAAAATCAAGTTTTTGTGGGCAGTTCTGAACCTTTTCAGAAGTTGTCATTTCTTTCCTCTCAGAGGGTGGGTGGCAGAAAAGCTAAGCACATGTTGGTGGATCAGATTTATTCTCCATGAAGAAGCTGTTAAAAGCTTGCTGGAAATTACAGGAAAGTGCTTTAGAGGACAATAGTGTCACCAGATAATGCATTGTCTGTATAGGTGTTGGGTTCGAATGTGAGCCTGCTACCTCGGAGCTTGATTTAAAATCTCCTTCCCTACCAAAGAAACAAATCTATTATTTTGATTTGTGTAGGCTTGAATCTGTAACAGTCATTATCTCTCCTAAAGCTTAGCAGAAGTCTGCTAAATCAAGGGAACCCAGTATGTGATTGCTAGCGTGTAGGATATGGTGGACCCCATGGGTGATACCCATGGCAACCGTGCAATATTTTAGAAGTGTGAATTAGCTGTCCTTCAAAAAGTTTCCCTATAATTTCCAGTGAGACTTTTTATTTTTTTTAATTTAAATAAATCTTAGGTGAATGGCACACTTGTCATCTCTCCCAATGAATTATTTATTCACTTCCAGCACCTACTTGCTCATTTGAAATCCTGTGCTGTCACGTATTCATCAAGGAAAGCGGTCTTTGTTCAGTCTGAGAAAATGCTCATACTTTCCATATCTAGCAGTATCCTCTGCCTGGGAAAGAGGATGTTTTGGAAGAGAAAGCCCTCATTCCCCTGACCCCTCCTTTGGTCTCTTAATTAGATTTGGAAGCTGAATAAAACAAGCATAAAATTTGGCACAGAAGAGCGATGGACTTGGGGTCAGAATGGAAGTAGCAGTTAGGCAAGCGTGGAAGGCCAAGGCGCTGATAAATTCATGTGCATCAATATTCTTGTAGAGTGATTACAATAATTATGTAGAAATGCCAGGAAAGGAATGGCCATGAAAGAACAAGCCTAATACATGAAAATACTCTGGTATGGTTAGTTGTGGGGATAACTGGGTAACAGAAAGGCTTTGGGGTTAAAATTTTTGATGTTGGGAATCCTACTGTCTGGTGCTTTATTACTAAGTGGTTTCCCCAGAGGTTTTTGGTCTAAACTCTGAACCTGCTTTCCAGTTTTCTTCAAGTTTGTCTTGATATAGACGCATTTACTGTATTTCTGGCATTATTGGTCTTTTTGTCATTTAAGCATTATTTAAATAGCTTAAATGTCTGTTCCAGATCCTGCTATTTGCTAATGTTAAGAAGATGTGTTGTCCTTGTGAGTCAGCCACGTCAGTTCTGTTTCCATTTCCTAAATCCTCATGTGGCAAGGAATAAGAAATTTTTAAAATGCGTAGGTAAGTCCCTAAGGACAGTGATTCTCCCCAAACAGCCAAGTGTTCAGCCTCTCACAGAAGCGACACTGCTGCATGAAACCATCAGGAAGAGGTCCTGGTGGATGATCTAATGGGTAGTGTTTTGTGGCCTGTTCCTGTATTTTATGGTAAGGTAGGTCCAAGAAGGAGCTGTCTTCTTTTCATTACCCTGATTCTGAGCTCTGTGGTACCATCCAAGGCAAGAGGATGAGGGCTTAAATGGTGTAGTTTGGAGGGGCTCAGGGGAGAGAAATCAAGAGAAGGAACACAAGGCTCAATGTTCTCATTGCTTTCATGTTGTCATTTGAGTGAGGCTGATCATTGCATATGTTTGAAACTCCAGTGATCTCAGGACATAGGTTTGAGGGAGGCCGGTCTGCAGGCTTACAGCCCATACTGGTGGGCTGCAGATAGCCCAGGGTTGCTGTGGTGTCAAAGTGCCTGGCATGCTTGTGGATGGTGTTACAGTGTGTAAGCAGGCTTGTGGCACGTTCTGTTACATGAGTAGGAGTTGAAATGAGGGCATTAATAGTCAACCTTGTCAAATGGCAACTGTCAAAAGACAGAATACTTCCTACATATTTCCTACATTTTTTTCCAAGGGATTCCTGCCTTATTAGGAAAGGTGATGCCATCAGTTAAGTTTTATTGACACTGAAGGTACTGTTTGTATACTGGGCTTGAAAATAGAGGTTTTTTTCGTATGATGATGGTCTAAGTCTATTTGAATAATCTTAATCTAAGAAGATAGGTTGATATACTTTCCATTTGATCTTAAAAAAAAATCCTTGTAGAACTGGAAATCAGAAAAAATAATATATATATATATATATATATATATAGTAGCATAACAGCATTGTAATACAGCTTCTACCTGTAGTTAGTGGCCTTTTTGGTGTGCCAGGTATCCTTGCCTTGCCAAATTACAGGTGAAGCATGCCTGTAGGCAGAACTGGAAGTTGGCAGATCCTGTCTCAGAGGCAAAATGCCACTCAGCAGGTGACCAGCAGTGCATTGCCTCTGAATGAAGCCAGGGCTCCTGCCTAACCCGCACTCAGCGTGCTCAAAGCTGGAGGCTGCTGCCTCTCCCAAAATGCCACAGCTTCCACTGGCGTCGTGTGTCACTTCAATCTTGTCACAGTCTGTCGGGCACATGCGATGTGGCAGCAAAGCCCAGAAGCTGCTTTGACAGATCTCTATCCTGAAGCTATATCAGGAACAAATTTCAGTGTAGGGAAACATGCCAAAAAACTGCAGATCTGATTGCTCATACATGTGGTTGCCTATGTCGTTGTGAAGTTGAACAGAACTGGACACAGAGAAACCATTCAGTGAACTGTTGCTCAGGCTGGGATGAGTTTTCCTGTAAAACCTTTGAATTAATTTCTGGGGAAGGAAGATAGGTTTCAGTTACTGTAAATAATGATAGAGAAATCATAACAAGTCATTCCGAAGTCCAGGCACATCTTGAAAGGGATGAGTCTTTGTGTCTGGCTTCTTCAAAATGATTGTATTAATACCCAGTGCATATTGACATAATCTCCAGGAAGTTTTCCAGCAGTGCTTTATCTCTTGCATTTTCAGATCAATAACACAAAATTAGACACCGTAAAACTTTTTTTTTTTTCCTTTCTTTCTAATGGCTATTGCTGACTGGCTTAAAAAGGATTCCAGTAAACTAATCTTATTCAGAGGTTATTGTCTCTAATTGGGAGATGCTGATTAGTTACAATATGTTAATGATGATTGAGGAGTCAGATCAGTAGTCACATCAAGAGATGTAAACAAATCTAAATATAAGAGGTAAAAAGAAAGTGGACAGTTTTAAACCCATTACCAAGGGCATTGCTAGCACAGCCATTGGAATACATGGGGAATGGTAATAGAAATCATTTGCAGTACAAAAATGTCAGTAAAATCCTATCATTGCCCCTTACAGTGACGAATCTAACAAGTATTTTCTTACCAAACACATTACCTGTGCAATATACATTAGTGTCAGGGTTAGTCCACTTGTTGTATGTGATTTTTTGTTTTTTATGCTGAAGGTCAAATTGGCTTCTTGAAAATCTTCACCTTTTCTTTGCTCTTTTCCTTCTGTTTCATTTTTACCATTAGTAGAAAGGATCACAAAGGCTTATTTGAGATGTTGCCACCTCAGAGCATGTATCCTGTTATCTTGTTGTACAGCCATGAGCAAAGGCAATGTATAGGAAGCATCTTTGGCTTTGACATGGCTTAGAAGTTCAGAAGTAATGCTACATCTAGATAACTCTCTGTAGTGTCCAAGTGACAAGGTCCAGGTATAGCCAGATGTCTTAGTTGCTGTAGGTCACAGATGACTGAGGCTGCTGATAGTTCTTTCACAAAACACCCAATAGCCTGGGGGTAGTAAGAAGTGCTAGCTACAAAAATTAAAGTCAAAAGCCTGGAAGAAACAAAAATCCAAATAAAAGTTGGTTTAGAGAGAAGGAACAGCTGAGCTGCAATGCCAGCTAGTAAATATAGTGGTGGAAGGACTGTAACTAGTTTGTCCCTGAACAAGCAATAAGGAGCCAGAGGCTATAACATGAGAAATGCACAGCTTTGACAAAACCACTATTTGCCAACCTGACCCAGCATTACAGAAATCAATACATGTAAAAAATGTTGTATCTATTAACTGTGCTTTCACTTTATTTAAGTGAGGGGGTTGTCTGGATCCAGATGCTGCATTTGGTTCTTTAATATCTTGGAGAACAGTGGAGGACCTGATATGGAAACCTTTTCCTGAAACTGCATGAATAAATGGCTTTTAAAGTTAATTGCACAGTTCCTTTTGGATATTGTTACTGTCTGTCAACCTCTGGCATCACTGGAATAGAGACAGCTTGCTAGGTGCTATATAAATAGCACAGAGAAACCTTGTTTTCAGGAATAATTTCAAGAGGATTTCTGCTTCTAATTTGTTTGGCGATTTAACAACTCCCAGTGTATCTGTGTTTTCCTGGGCTTTTTGTAACCCCACTTACAAATCTGAGCTGTTGTGATTTTTTTTTAAGGTATTCTCTACTGCATGTTCTCTACCGCATTCACCTGAGTATGCACTTGTACAAATTCTTGTATCTTGGTGGCTTAATATATTAGGAATCCCCTCTACATCACTATATAAAAAATGTAAGATGGTTTCCAATTCTGTTCTGGAGTCATGCCTTCGGCTCTTAAGTTCTGTCCTTTTATTCCTTGTGCAAGCTACTCTGCTGATAGTTCTGTAAGTGTTATAATGAAGGGAAAAAAATGGAATATGTCCTGAGTGCCTTGCAGTTGCAGTAGTATACACACAGCATACAGCAATTGCTTCTGTCAGTACTTGGGCTTTAAATTCTTAAAGGGATGCATATATGCTACAACTTTGTAAAGGACAAGGAAGTAATGTGGAAGATGAGTTTCCATGTGAATTTAGGACTTATTAAAAAAAAGGTACGAGAGATCCACGTCAGAAAGTAATCAAAACTTTGATGCACTATAAAATTGTACATATGAAATGTTCTTGGCAAATAAAAGTATTACCAGGCAGTACCTTAACAGGTTTCCTTGTATGGCTCTGCAAGAGAAATGTGGCTGTTAAAAATTTGACTGTGAGCTTGTGTTAGCTCAGGTTGCCTCACATGGGCCCAAAGTTTGTGCAGCCTCACTCAGAGATAGCTCAAAGCAATCACCCTGCTTCAAGAAAATACTCTAAGGTAAGCATTTGATAAAACAATGGTTCTTTGAGCGCTGGAAGAAAGATGTGTTCCTCTAAGCTTCAGCTAGAGAATGGAGCCTTCCTGAACTTGTGCTTCCATTTCTACTGCTTGAGAGTGCTATTTCCAAGCCTTTCCTCCCCCAGACATAGCATCTGAAAAGAAATGAGCAGAATCCTAGATGAATCAGTCTAAAGGAAACCTGTTTCCAGAAAGAGGGTGTTCCTCTGTAACAACTGGTAAATAGGAGCATGATCTAAGTACATCAGTGTGGGTGCTGTGAAGGATACCATAGGGTACAATTAGCTGGCTGGTGCTCAGAGGTTGCCACTTCTGAAGGGTAGAGCAGATTGTCTGAAAAACTTGTGGCACCAGTGTAGATGATGACTTGATTGAGAAACTGCTGTGTGTGACTATAAACAGCAGATGAAGCGGGGCCCTGGACACTAAGGCAATGGGAGGTTTCCTCACTCAGCCCACGGGTTGTATTCCAAGTGGGTTGATGTTTTATTGTAGCTATTTCATGGCATGTTGTTCAAACCAGTGGGCTGTATGAGGGAGTTGAGGAATGGTGATAACTTTCGCCAAGCTGTTCTAGACCATGGAAAAAATTCTATGGGTGTAATATGAACTTAAAGGATCAAAGGACTTGTGGGTGTAAAGGGAGTAATTTTGACACCAGAGCTCCACTGAAGGGAGACAGAAGGTACTCATTGGATAGCCACGTGCCCCCGTAAGCCAGAAATATTTGTTCATTGTAGGTGATGTTTAGCATTGTAGATAGAGAAGAAGATTTAGTACTAAATTTTCTGAGTGTTACTTTCAGCATACGCTGTCTTGTGAGGGAGAAAGGAAGATGTTAAGGCAATAAGACAGACGTTAATCATAATTTTCTTTCTTGGATCACTGTTAAGCAGCTGTCTTATTCATTGCTTCATTTCCACCAGGGGCCGATGATGTGGAATTACAGTACTTTTATAGCAGCATCTGTCTGAGCCCACTTTGGAAACGTTGGCTCATTAGCAGGAAGCCACTCAAAAATGTTCCACCTTGCTTTTCTGCGGCTTAGCATAACCAGGATGTAGACAGCACATGTTTTTTTCCTCTGGAACTGCTAAAGTAAGGACTACTGTTGAGCTTTGTGCATGTTGGTCATGCACCATGGGATTGGGACCACAGCATGTGACGGATTGCGTCTTGATTGCAAGTGGGCCTGGGGGGTGAGTGGTGTCTGTGTGTGGGAGGGCCCACACAGCTTGA